ATAAGAGGGATATAACATCGAATTTGGGAACTCACCAACATGGAGGCTAGCATGTGTCGATGAGTTTTGAATTGTTAGGTGCATCAGGTGGTTGAATTTTTGAAAAGACTTCCAGATGTGTTATCATGAGGATCTGATTGTTTATTTTAGGCATTGTTGCCCTAATAACCTATCTTTATAATTTTTCCCTTCTATATTGTTCAATGGCCAAAGTTGTTCTATCATTTTTTTAAAATAAGAGATATTTCATTTTGTTCATTATCTCTCTTTTAATGATTTTGTCCCATTTATTCTAGATCTATCCCTTGGCTTTTCTTTTAAATACCTTGCAATGGAAGAATTGTGTGAATGCATTTTTACTTTTTGAAATTAAAATAATGATTGATAAATGAATAATAACATGAAAGATTTCTATGTTACCTTGTAAAGTATGAATTGTTTAAGGTTTAGAAAGGACACTAAATTTGGAAATGAAAAAGGAAGATTTCCTTAAAAGAAATATAGTTGTTAATATTGAATAAGAGATATGATTAGGAATTGAATTGGTGTGATCTTAGTGCTTGAAGATTAAAGAGCTTGAGATCCAAAGGAATGAGGCTTGAGAACCTATGTACCAAAATTGAAAAGATATTAATTGACATTTGCATAACATGCACTGCATTTAGAAATGTTTAGTGCATGAATCTAGAAAACAGGGATATTGCAAGATCCCGCATGGAAAAGATAAATATGAAAACTTTTCAGTGATGGAATTTCAAATTCTCATTTGAGAAGAAATCTTTGAGGTAAGAGTTTAATCCTTGAAAACAAGATATTTTCATAATATCAATCATGGACAAGAAACATTTTTCAAAATTTTAAACTTGTGAAGCCTTTGGACGAAGGGGCATTTTTCGATATTAGGAACGATTTGTAAGATTTTCGGGTATAATCTCCTAATTTTTTCGTCTCGATCTATAAGACCTTTACGCATAATTGTCAAAAACTTTCAGGTATTTTTTTTAGAGGTTCTGTGCCTCTATTATGAGGAATCTTTATTTTTTTTTTAAAAGTTGTGTGCCTCTGTAAGGAAGAGGCGTTATTTTTTTTTAGAAGTTGTGTGCCTTTGTTATGAAGAGCTCTTATTTTTAAAGTTGTGCGTTTCTATTGATGAGGAACCTTTTATATTTTTTTAATGTTGTTGAGCTTCTGTTTAGATGAGCTTTTTATATTTTCAAAGTGTTGAGCCTCTGTTTAGTGGGACCTTTTATATTTTTTAAAAGTTGTTGAGCTTCTGTTGAAAAACTTTTTATATTTTTTAAAAGTTATTGAACATCGGTTTAGAAGAGCCTTTTTATATTTTCAAAGTTTTGAATGACTGTTTAAAAGAGTTTTTATGTTTTTCAAAAAGTCTGAGTGTATGTTTAAAACAGTTTAAAAAAATGTTGGGTTGGGTATTTGAATATATGTGTGTTGTGTACATTTTTGCACAATTCTTGTTTCACAGAAAATGTGCAAAAGCGGGCAATTGTAGAAGCCGTATTTTGTTTGGGGTTGATTTTATAAGATTTGGTTTTTGTTAAATTAAAAAAAGGGGAAGAGTTTGATTTAGTTTAAAAGTTTAATGTTTTATGGTTGGAGAAATAGATTTGGATTAAAAATCTAAAGATGAATTTGATTAGGAGATTAAAACAAAAAAAAAATCTTATCAAGGCTTATAAAAAGAATCCATCAGGAGGAATCAAAGGAGGGAGGAAGCAATAGACAAACAAAATCTTAAGGCAAGGGAAGTCAGAAAAATTGTAAAAATTTGGGCAACATCATTTAGGATTGTGGGTGAAGTTTAGACTAAAGGGGTTCAATTTATTTTTTATTTTTTTTTGTTTCTGGGTTTCTAGGGAAAATCTAAAAATGAAAAATCTGGGTTTCTTGCACTTTTCAATGACTACGTTTAAGTTTTTTGACAACATTCAATCGGAATCTGCATTTTTTTGTTGTGATTTGGGTTTTGTTGGGGTTTTTTGTCGGCATTCAAAAAATTCTAGAAAGAGAAAATAAAACAAAAAGTAGAGAGAGAAAGAAAGAAATGAAATCTGAAAAGAAAATTTTTTACCTTTTATACATGCATGAAACGATGCCATTTTGCTTTTAAAGAAAACCAGATTTGCGTGTTTTCATTGTCCTTGACCCAACCTGTTTTGCAACCTGCGAACTCATACCTCCGCTGAAGTTGAAGTCTAGCCATTTATGCAGTCGAGCTGATCCTCTAGCCGTATTTCTTGATTCACCTACTATTTTTTATGCCGTTATTCTTATGCCATCTAAATTGAGCAGTTTTCTTGATATTTTTATTATTATTATTATTATCCTATTTATTTATTTTATTTATGTTTAGTTATTTATTTATTTGTTTATTTGTTTTCCATTTATATTTTTTTATTTGTTTTGTATTTATTTGTTATTCAATTATTTGTAAATATTTTTAAGAAAAAAATAATTTTTTTAAATAAAATAAAAATAATCTTGCCAATATATTGGAGGGTTCAAAATTTTTTAAAATAAATATTTAAAAAAAAAGAATTCTACCAACATATTGAAAAGTAATTTAATTTTTAAAATAAGGTTTACCAACATATTAGATAACCTTAATAATTTTTTATACAAAACAAATTTTAATGGAAAAAATAGTTTTCAATAAAAAACCTTACCAACATATTGAAAGGCAATTTGATTTTTAAGATAAGATTTTACCAATATATTGAAAAATTTTATGATTTTTAAATAAAAAATTAATTTTTAGCAAAGAAATAATTTTCATAAAATCTTACTAACATATTGGAAGATAATTTTTAGCAAAAAATTTTATCAATATATTGGAGGATATTTTTGAAAATAAATTTTTTTTTTCATAAAGCTAAATTTTAAATCTCCGATAATGGAATTACTAAAAGCGTTGTATATATAGCAATCTTCATGTAAATTCCTAAGTGATAAATTTTTTCTAAATTTTATCAACATATTGGAGAATTTAGAAAAAATTTTCAATAAAATTTTCACAAAAATTTCAATTATCACAAGTAAAAGTTTTTTTACAAAAATTAAATGAATCTGACGACGGAGTGTTTTCAAAATGTGACAAATAGTCTCTTTGACTACTATTGAGATGAGAGGATGTTTTTGAATTATTATCAATATATTTGAGTAATTTAGGTATAATTTTCGATATTAAATTACTTGGTAAGTTTTTTAGGCTTTTGGATAATACGAAATTAAGTTGGTACCATCTTGTGGGTAGACAATGTGGGGGTGTTATAACCTTTCTCACATGTAATTGTACTCTGAAAACTAATTCTGGTTCCGTAAACATGAATTTATTAAGTGACCAATCGTGTCTAAATAAAAAAGATTTGTGATAACTTCTTGTAAGTTTAGCTATAAATTTACGAATTCATATGTTATGACAAATTTTATTTTACTTCATTGGTTTCAAAGTCCACATGGCCTTTTGACTAAATTAAAAAAAAATTTAAGCTTCATATTGGCCAAAAAAACCACTTTATTCTTATGTAATGTGTTTTACATTAACAAAGAATGGAAATGATCGGATTTTGAATTACAATAATTATGGGTACATGTGCCATGTTATTGGTAATTATGGGTATTTGTACTTAATGTCCTTGTAATCCTTGTACTATAGATCTTTTGTTCAAGGCTTAATATGATCTTGATATTTTTGATCCTTTGTTCAAGCCTTAATATAATTTTTTATATCATTTATCTTTTGTTTAAACCTTTGCATGGTCTGTTTGGTAGCATATTAACTTTTTATGGTGTTTTTTTTATGTTCAAAAGCCATACTTTATTTTGTCCTCGTATATATGGTTTCAACTTTCTCCAAAAATTATTTCTAGTTGGTTATTAAGGTGATTCCTCATTTTATTTTTCAGGTATGGCTTAACTCAAATATTTTAATTTATTCACATCTAGGCATTCAATTTTTTTGTTCCGAAGGGGATCATACCTTATTTTTACCCTCGAACTTTACTAAGAAAATGTAATTTACAATCCAGGCTTTATACTTTAATTTCAATGTAATTGCTAACTTTAACACTGATTACTGGTGTAATGTAGACCAATGGAAAAAATAGCCGTTAACCCCATTACTGATGCAATTTTAGCAGCCCTCGCAGCACCTATATAAAGCAAAAGATTGTGATATGGACATCAAAATATAATTATTTTATAATTTGACATGACGTTATATTTTATTTAGGCTAAAATAAGCCCTTGAAGTATGCCAAATTTCTCAAATAGTTCTTATCCTTTAATTGTAACTCAATAAGTCCTTATTTTATGATTTTTACCTGGATAAACCCTTATGTCGAGGAAATGTCAACATGACATAAGTGACCTTAGTAGCTGTTAGGGTCATGGCCAATTGGCATCCTTTGCACTTTTGGTAGCTGGCGTGGCTTTTTTGACATGGTGAAATTGATTGATTGGAATACCATGTCCAGCGAGAAAATTTTCCACTCAAACCAATTTTGTCACGCTAGAAAAGCCACATCAGTGTCTAGGTCAGAGTTACTAGAATGTGGTACGTGTTGCTTCATGATATGGATATGGGAATGGGTACACCATGTAGTTAATTTGTGGTACAAGGGGGATAGCTTTAGTCTGTACACTATTTTGGATCTTGGTACACTTTGCAATAACTATCAGATCATTGCTCTTATTTGTTATTCAAAATTTTCATTATTTCTTATGTAAAATAAAAGTACATAAAATAAAGTAGTAGTTATTGTAGCTAATATGGAGCAATTAGCTTTTTTTATTTAGATAGAAGTTATGTTGACTAAAAAAACTAATGGAGTAAAATAAAGAATCACCCACCAATTGATATTGGACCATATAATCAAGCAGGAGTCCAAAGACATAATAATATTATTTCTTTTCTTTATTTATTTATTTATTATTGTTTTATTATAAACTAATCTTCTATGTTCTTTTTTTAACTACAGGACTGGCTATATTTAACTGTATGCCAACAACATTATCAAGTGGAGTTGCACTTACTCAGGCATGCTGATTTCTATTTATTGTCTAAGTCCATTTCTTGATGCCTTTGGCTTTTTGTTTAAGAAGCCCTGCGTTTTCGAAATGCAGCTTGCAGGGGGGAACTCTGCACTTGCTCTTGCAATGACAGTGATATCTAATATGTTGGGAATTTTAATTGTAAGTTGTGCATGCAAAAGGTGTATAATATCCTGTTAAAGTTTAGCTTTGCTACTGGAATTGATTGGATGTTTGATATATCCTTGCTTTCCTTTTAACTCTTGATGGATTATTTTGGTCAGTCATTAATAAGCTGATTGTATACAGTTATCTGTGTTTTCTCTATGATGTTTTATTGTTCTCTGATATTAATGTCGATCATTTAGTCTAATATCCCTTTTCTGTACGTCATTTCAATGTATCAATCACCCTGATTGTAATGTAATTTGTATTTACAGATTTCTATTGTTGACTGAGGGGAAATATAAAGTGGAAGAATGTTATGGCAAAAACAATATATTTCTAGTTATATTAAGTGAATTTTGTAATGTATAGAAGTGTTATTATCTACGTTCAATTAAACTTATGGTATTTTAGACTTAGGAGGATGTTATTTATATTAGAGGCAAACTATTGAGAAAAAAAATTAGTTAAGAAAGTTTTAAATTAGTTCATTGTTACGGTATTGAAATTTGGGCTAGTACAACATTATAGTAAATTGATTGTTCACAATATGAATGTGAAAACATGATGCTATTGTTGATTACAAAATAAGAAAAGAATCTACTGAAAATGGGGCAAATATGGCAGTAATAGAGGATAAATTCAAAGCGGAGTGCTCCCTAAATAGATTGGTGATATTCAACATAAGTTTCAGGAAACAATGATTTACAAAAGTGATTTAACACTAATAGAAGGATTGATAAAGCGTACGGCTATAAGTGACAATTTTACATGTTGCAGTTATAAAGGTTTAAGTTTGAAGATCTTAGGATAGCATTGTCTTCAAGCAGGTAGAAAGAAAATCTATGTAAGTTGTTTAGAGTTGCAGTATGGTTTTGTTTTCTTTTAAGTTTTAAATCATTGATTTGTAATGGTTGAGCACAGAGTGTCTTTAAACTTGTTTGATGTATTAACCGCAATTTTCTTTTTAACTTAAATAAGCATATTCTAATATTTATATCATTTTCAGATTCCATTTTCCATCTCCAAATTCATAGCTGTTGGAGTTGGTGTGTCTGTCCCAACTTCACAACTGCTTAGAAGTCTTGTTTTCACACTTTTGGTTCCTTTGATATTGGGGAAGGTAAAATTTCCATTGATTATGATATCTAAAAAGAAAAATTCTTCTGGTATCCGCTAATTTGCAAAGAAGTGCTTGTTTGCTGCATGAAACTATTTCATTGTAAAAACTTCTTAATAATAAGTTATCTTCTTGTTATTACAATGGAGCATGTAAAAGTAGTCATCCATTGAAGTCTCCCAAGTATTCCTGATCTTTTAAGTGAAGCACTAGAGTAGCATAGTTCAGTACTGTTTTTCTTTCATGATTTTACATTATCATCTTCCTACTTGAGGGTTTTAAACTTCACTTGTTGAGTTGTGATACATGGTGAAAAGTTAGTACTATTTATCCAAAAAAATGAAGAAAATTTAATACTATAAAAACTGGTCCTCCAAATCGTATTAGCATAATCTTCCTATCAGCTTTTATTGTTTCTAACTGTAATTTTTGCCTCCTAATTACAGGTTTTACGAGAATCCTTCAAAGGTGAGCCTCTTTCGTGGCTATTTTTTCCCCTTTTCCTTGTAAGCATTAAGAAGGTTCTGCATAATATTTATGCTTAGGCATCCATGTTTTAGAATATACTTATGCTAATTCACCAATCTTCATAGCTCCCACATACTCGTAATGTTTCAACTTCATGAAGTAATATGATCTAAGATGTTGACCATTATCAATACTTCATAATACCTTTAACTCTGGTTTGAGTCGTCAGTCTTATTTGATATGCATCTTCTAGAAAACTTAAAAATTGAAATGCAAAGGTTAGATATTTAAAACCATTCAAGCATCAAAGTCTGTGGGCTGAAAATGGGTGCCCATCACTACTTCAGGATTCATAAGAGTAGTTTGAAAGAAATAATAGAGATTATTTTTCTTTAAGTTTCATAGTGGCACATTTTCCCATTCTTGAGCATTCTTTTGTCTCCTTCCAAACCTCAAAAGCAGTGCTGTGTCCACTGAAGACTATTATTGATCTCCAGTTGCTACTTTGTATCTGACAACCAAGCAATGGATTCTCATGATACTAGAGAAAAAAAAATGGAAATGCCCTTCAGCATAAAATTATTAGGCTACCTGATCTTGCAAAGACAAACTGAACAAGTAAATAGATGGTATATTGGCTTTCTTGTTGCATATACTACACCCACTAGGAATCTCTCATCTATGTTGTTTACCAGCTCATGGTCTCAAACATGATTAAATGTGTAATACAGGATTGGCAAACTTCGTTGACCATAACCGTAAGCTATTTTCAAAGATCAGTGCAGTCTTCCTTAGCTTAGTAAGGCCTAAACTTTGGATCTTTTTAGTTTTGTTTTACATATAATATTCTAACATCAAATACTTTTATCAGTTGATTGTTTTTATAAAAATAATTCTTGGTCCAATTTTATACTGATTTTGACTAGTTGAAGCACTCTGGAGACTTCCCATCAGTTGGAAGACTCTATCCTAAATGCAATAATAACTTTTTATATAACTTTATTCAAGGATCTCTAGTAGCTAATTCTCATGTCTTGCTTCAAAGCTTCATTTGGTTCTGTTGCAGTACTCCTTCCTTTCGAACCCTCTCTTTTCCATTCTTAGGTCTTACATACTTTTATGGAAACATTTTGTTTGTTTTTTTTTTTTTTTTCACTTATTCATTCTTAATCTTTTAAACCCTTATCATATTTATTTAAGTTTTTGAGAGTTAATCTATAAGTTCTAACATTCAGAGAGTAATAATGTCAGAATAATATTTAAATTTATACATATTTTTTTGTTCAAAATAATAAAAAAAATTAGTGAATTGACATTTTCTCATGTTACAGGATCATGTAATATTCTATTAGCAGACATTAGGCCTGCTTTCATACTAAGTTAAGTAGCAACAAGAATTTCACATTGTTCAAAATTTTCTTATGTCTTTTCTCTATATTTAAAATTAATTGTTCCTTTTTATCAGAAGCTTAAGGTCACTGTCTCTATAAAATTGTTTCTGAAGCTCGTGTATGATTCTCAAAGAAACAAATGCAGCAACTTTTAATGCCATTTTGGTCTTAGCTTATATTATGTTTCAAAACTATGATGGTTGCCAGGTGCCATGGATGCAAGTGAGCAGGTCAAGGTCGCTACTTCTGATGGTTAAACCTGCAGTTTTTATTGTAGCTATTGGAATGGGAACGTATGTCCATTCTTCATTTCATTAATTTTCTGGTTTAATAGCAGCTGTGATGTACAATTGAATTATGGAAATTGTCATGCATCGGTCCTAAGACATAAAAGAAGATGATCATAGACCTAATAGTATGGAAAGTAGCTCGATATGAATTGTTATTATAGGGTCTCACCAGATGTTCCTCCCAAGGACCAGTCTATTGTATGTTGTATAAGATGATGTTAGATTTTCACGTTTCCTGTTTGTGGTTTGCTATTGCTTAATTCTAAGTCTCAATTGAGTTGGTCCTGGGTCTTTCATTAAGAATTGTCTTCATGCGGCTCTGAGTTGCAAGCGGTTTTAGTATTGACCTAGATCATACTAGTAGATTTATTAACCTGGGTTTCCAAATTGCAACTTGTGTCAAAACTGATATTCCAATGTTGTGACTACAGTTGTGTGCATTTAGTTCAGACTGGCAGGGAAAAGATGAAAATTTTTTTATGGACCTATTATGCATAATTTCCGTATTGGTTGCATCTTATACACTTTTGATGGAGTTGCATCTACTTACGGAAGGATTCCATAATTTATTACAGGCTTTTACACCTCATTCTGTTAGCTTTTAATGCTCTTGCTCTAAGGAGCCTCTCAGCCGTCTCTGGCGGTAGTAAATCAATTTTTGCCAAGAAAGAAAATGCCCAAGCAGCTTTGCTTGTTGCAAGCCAGGTTGCTATCTTGAGCTAGCTTTTGTTTACACGATTTTCTCCTCTAAAACACTTTCTGCTACCATCTACTTGGGAAACTTTCTCAATTTCCCTTGTTTATTTGATGATTGTATTGTCTGAAACTGTGTTGCCATGCTTTGCAGAAAACTCTGCCGGTGATGGTCGCAGTTGTGGAGCAGCTTGGTGGTGCATTTGGTGAATCTGGTTTACTGGTTCTACCATGTGTTTCCGCACATTTGATTCAGGTTATATCATTATCTCTCAGCTTCTCCTGCTGTCAATTTCATTGTTTTTGACATCAATATCATTTATATATGCAGATTATCTTGGACTCTTTCCTTGTTAACCTGTGGCTTCGGAAAGATCGCTCGTCTAACACTTCCAAGGTAGCCTGAGAATCAAACACCCTTAATGATCCTTTGAAGCGATATTCGTTCTTTATGGACACAACAATTTTTTTATGATTGTCATTGATTCAAATTAAACTCTGAGAATTACTGCCAAAGTCTTTTCTCAGCTATCGAAATCTTCCGTATCTGGATCAGTGTAGCCCAATAAAAAAAAAAAATTTCAGTGGGTCATATTTCAATTTTCTATATGTAAACATGATGTTTTATATTCATTATATTTTTGAAAAAAATTATATAAATCCTAAAATATTAAGTTTATAAAACTATAGAATGTATTATCTAGTTTCTTCATTAAAAAGTTAATCCAAGGACAATGAGATATTACTTCAACTTTTTGATTTGATCATCCATGAATTTAATTTTATAAGTTAAAGTTGAATTTCATTTCATTCTTAGTTTGTTATTATGCACCTCTTTCATCTAAAAGAGGCAAATTATGTGTGCAGATATAAGAGTAAATAATTATTTTTATGAAATTATACGTATTAGAAGAAATTATAATAATAATTAAATAATTTAGAGATTGTTGGGTATTGTTGTTTGTTTTGTGTTTTATGCTTTTGAAAATTTTGTTTTGTTTTTAATTTCGAATTTAAAAACATGTTTGAATAAAATATTTTTGTTTTAAACATGTGAAATCAAAAACATGTAAGATAAAGTGATTAAAATTTTTAGATTATGTTTATTATTAATAATATAATAATATTTATTAATATTATTTATTAATATAATACTTGTAACATCATTATAACGGTTTAATTATAATTTATATGAATAGTGCGTGTGTAACAACAATGTCAAATTATTTTTTAAAAAATTAAAAATATCTTTTTTTTTTTGTTTTTAATAATTTTTAAAACTTTTCAAAATTTTATTTTCAATTTTTAAAAACAAAAAACAAAAATAACTTACTAAACATGTTTTTGTTTTCAATTAAACAAAAAACGAAAACAAAAAATAAAAAGGTTACCAAACGACCTTTAAATTAACAATCAATATAAAACATATTTTATTGTACTAAAAAAGATAAGTTATATTAAATATTGGTTTTTTTTAATTAAATTTTATAAATAATTATCGTGACAATTGATAAGTAAAAGAGTTTAAAGTTATCACTCGAGTTAAATAAATTATTATAAATCTAAATAAAATAATTCCAATAATATAAAATTAAAATTTCTAGTTGTGTCCTTTTATATCTCAAAAATATTATCCACAACCATGTAACCTTTTCTTTTTTTTTTTTTTTGCAAAACATATACTTTTTATTCAACTCATTTTTTCTCTTTTGTCTAGCCATCTAAAATCTAATATTTTACGACAAATTTCAATTAAAATATATTTTTTTATCATTTCTTCTCTTAAAATTATGATTCCATTTTTTGGATAATTAGCATTATGATTACATTATCATTGAAAATTTAAATCACAATTGGAAAAAAAATGGTAATACCATTAAAGGTAGCTCAATTTAAAGTGGGTGAAAATTTTGATACCGTTAAAATTCTAAAACATTAAAAGTAAATACATAATTTTACTCTAAAGTTACTTTTTTAGTGGACTTATTTTTTATTTTGTAACTTATATAAAGGCGAATACATCACATATAAAATATGATTAAGTAAAATATACAATTATAATATTAATAGAGCTACAAAAGTGAGAAATTACAAACAAACATATTCTTTGTGAGTTTAGTATTATTTTTTTTTAATCCACCACTAACACAATCTAATAATGTTCTTTTTTTTTTTTTTTGAGCGGGGCCATGCTTGTTATTTTGAGATTGTGTGGAAAAGGTTGTGCATAGCAATCCCCTAAGAGGAAGTATCAACCACCCGTTGATGCAATTGCCTCTTAAACGACGTTTCACAGCTTATGTGTCACGAGTTACGAATCAATCTCTAAGTTCATATGATTTTAAGATTTAAACATAATTGATGTGAAATTTATGATTTTTTTTTAAATCATGATATTTTTTTTTATTTTAATGAAAGCCCACCATTTTCAATGATAAATAATTAGTATCTTTACAATTAATTTTGATATCATTTATCACAAATTGAGATTTAACTCATTCAATATTTTAGATTAACTTAATTATTACGATTTACATTTTTACGAGATATTTTTTATTTCAATTATTTTTTACCTCACGATTTTATCTTAAAAAAAATATTTTATATAAAAAAAAATAAACTTTTATATTTTATGATTAATTTTACTTTACAATCGATGTAAATTTCATGATTTCTTTCTATAAGACCGTGACACTACGAGTGCCCAATTGAAATCTATCTTTTTTCTATTCTTTCGTTTTTTCTACTTGTCTCTCTCTCAAGTCTTATTTAATAAACTAAATAATGCCATTTATGTCCTAAAAACTAAGATGTATAGCCCATGATCTATTTGAGAGAGGGGTGTATGGATTCACTTTTGTTATTTGGTTACATATTTTTTTTAAGAATGAAATTTACTTTAATTATTTAATTATTATTTTTTATATTTTATTTAAAAAATTCAATATCTAATATATTTTTACAATTTCCATTTTTAAAACAAATTTTTCGAATTTGTTTTTTAAATTTAAGAAAATAAAAAATAAAAAATATTTTCAAAATATAAAAATAAAAAAACAAAAATACACAACTTTTCTATAACTAATCTTAGTCAATGAAAAAAATTGAATGACCTAGGAACACCCGATTACTCTCCAAATTTTACAAATTTTACGGGATAGACGAAAATTTTAAAATAAATTTATTTTTTTCAATCCTTTTCTTTTATTGCGTATCATTTTCTTAACAAGTAAATTTAAACTATTTTTGTCTTTAACTCTTTAGCTTAATTATGGCTAAGGGCTCTCTTAAAACATAAAGGTTTTGTTTGGAATTTCCTCCCCTTCTTGCATCCCTATGAGCTATGCTTGTACCAAATAAAAATTAATTTTTTTTAATTAAGTAAATTTAAGGCTACAAGGTAAAAGATATTTTAAAATTATAATTTAATAATTATTTAAAATTTTATTATAATTAATCAAATTTTTAATCTTTTATTTCGATTTAATTAAATTCTTAAATAAACAAAATTTAATCACATGATAAAATTTAATTAATTAATTACAATCAATTGAATCTATACAAGAATATAAGAGAAAGACAGAAAATAGAGAAAGAATTTAATTTAATTTAATTTAATTTTTAAATATATTAATTATCGCATGATAAATTTTTAAAATTTTTTAAACTTATTTCTTCCGTTTTTGGCTATTCAGGTGAAAACATTGGAAGAGCACAAAAAGTTGGTGGAGAAGATCATAAAACGAAATCTGAAGTGTCAAAAGAGGATAGATGCTGCTAGCATTGATTATGAATGCCCTGAAATTGTAAAAATCTGCCTTTTCTGTCTTTTACTTGCTTTATTCTTTACTGGTGCAAGTGGACAATCTTTGGGAACACTTAGGTTGCTTGTGTATGAACATTTAGTAGTAGGACTCTCCTGTTCAATAATTTGGCATGAAACAGTTAAACATATGGGCCTGTTGTAGCTTTAGTTACAGAAGGTATGGTTCTCAATCAGGAGAACTTGTTTAGAGCTTTAAATTGTGCATAAAAGTCCACTGTGTCTGGAATATTTTGTGCCACTTGCATCTCACTTAAGGCATCTACATTGTTGATCCTTCATGGATTTGACATGGAATATGAAATTGGACAAGGAGCTCAACATTCATCCTGGTTTAGCCTTGTACACTCCATTCCTCCGTTCTTTTTTCTCCTTCCTATCTCTTTTTGCTTTTGAATTCACGTCTCATCTTGGACAACTGATCTTGTAGGGAGGATTTACTTCTTATGAACAGGGGAATTCAATATAGAATTGAAATTTGAACACCGCACTTTCTTGTAGAAAAAAAAAGCAGGTTTTATAATTTGTTTGTGGTTTTAGCATATTTCTATGTACGTCAAAGGTATTAAGAATCAAGGTTTTGGTTAGTGTAACATATTAAAAATTATTTCTTTGCTTGGAAAACCTAATTAACAGATTGTCTGTCAGCATATCTAATTCTAAAATTTCCCACTAGCCTTCTAGCATGTTGCTTCTTGAAAATTTATCATACTAGGCTTAAAACATTTTTAATTAAAGGTGTAATTTTTTTTTATTTCAGTTGAAGGGGCATTTTAACTTGGTCCTTCCTCTTTTTTGAGTTGTGATCTGGCAGCCATTGTTATGAATGTAGTGACTGTAATCATGATATAGTTTCAGCATTCGCTCGTTTGACAGTTTGACTTACGATTGCCTTGAATCAAACATGCTTAACATGAATTATAAATTATTATTAGTTGTCAACAGCATATTTTATATGGGTTAATGTGTAAATTGCCCCTTAACTATATTACTTTTCACGTTTTGGTACTTTTAGGAAGAAAAAAAAAATCACGATTTGGTTGTCCAACTTTCTTTCTTTCATGTCATTTATCCCAGACATCAACTCTATTAATAATACGTTGATGTGGAAAAAAATCAACGAATACAATCATGATACATGACACAATTTCATTAGTCAATATCTGCCATGTCATCATTTTATCTAACACCATTAGTTAATGATTCAAAGTGCCAGACAGAAGCTAAGTCAAATTACCAAATCATGAAAAATGATATAGTTTAGAGACCAATTTACACATTAACTCTTTTATATTGTATATAGTCTGTTAATTCATTGCATCTTACTATATTTTGTTTTTGGATCATGAGTTCTTTTTTTCTTTCGACACACACTGATTGAGAATTTTGCAGGTGGGTAGCATTCAGCCTGTTCCAAAGAAGATAAAGTTTGATGAAGATTAGGCACAGTGATGCAGTTATGTTATCCAGCCGTTTGTGTGGTAGGAAATTTCTGATTGTTGAATTTCGTATAAACAGCATTCACAGAAATGCCGTCTCACCATGTGGAATTCAATGGCTTCCTCAAAAGTCTCCTGAGAAGCTCAAAATTTTTGAAGTTCAATGTGTATTTTAGCGGTGGACAAGCTTTATACCTTTTTATGTTACATTTATTATGTTTGCTCTTGTCAGACCCTTGTTGGAATCAATGTTGCCAGACCTGTGGCAATGGCAACTTGTTAGATCAATCATTGTTCACCTGGCAGTTTTAAAATGAAAGGGTGATATGTCATAAAAAAATGATATGAAGCAATATAATTTAAAATTTT